CGGCTAGGAAGAGGCTTCTATAGTACTCCGTGTGAGAGAAGGGAATCGCTGCCAGGTTTAAGCATAGGAGTAGGTGTTTTTTTGTGCGAAGTGGGGTTTAGCGTTGCGGTGATCTTTGCTTTACAAGTAATCATGTTAACGCTCCCCTTTCTCAGCCGACTTGCCCCTTGTTCCTTCTAGGATCTCGATGTTATGGAACCGCACATTCCAGGAGTACATCAATCATCGGAATGTGACTTTAGGTTCTTAAAGTTTGCTACTCTTTTTAGACGTGTTCCGTTGAAAGGAAAGAGAAACATCCTGATCACTTCGGCTCTTCCCTACGTGAATAATGTGCCTCATCTGGGCAACATAATTGGATGTGTCCTTAGCGCTGATGTATTCGCAAGGTATGTGGTTGTCAATTTTCTGTGAATAGTAGAGGTCCGCAATCTGTTAAGAATCGAGAAATGACGTGTCGCATAACATATTAGGTTGCATTCATACTCTGCGTTAGCGTGTCGAGCGTACGACAGCGTTTTGAGCAACAGGAAAGAAAAGGTATCGATTTGGTGTTTTGAGAGGTTTGCGGGCAGTCGCTGACAGCGCGGCTTAGCTCAAAACGCTAGATCAATATCATTACTCTCCTAGTCGCTCGAAACGCTGCCGTACGCTCAAAAAACTCGCAAAGCATGAACGCAGCATTGTTGCGAGATATTGCGTTACGATGCGTTACGTAACGCGTTAATGACGGAGAAACCTGGATTCTATCATTGTCAGTGCCGCCTCAAAAATGTCACTAACGTGATGACATCACTGACACGTCATCTACCTCCTAGCAGGTAGCATGTTGCGACGCGTACCTGGCGCCAAGCTCCAATACGTTCAAGAGGAACTAGGAAAGCAGAACGAAAGCTACAACTTTTGATTACCTCTCTTCCATCGATATTCTTAGTGAAGACACTTTCAGCGCCATATTTATCCTTTTTGTCATTTAAAAGTCATTTTCCTTTGGCCATTTTCCAGGTACTGCCGTATGCGCGGACATGAAACGTTGTACATCTGCGGCACAGACGAGTATGGAACTGCCACCGAAACGAAGGTAAGTGCCTGTTGTACTCCGACTCATTTCTTCTGTATTAATATTTGCTCTTTAGGCTCTTCAAGAAGGTGTCACCCCCAAGGAGGTGTGTGACAGATACCACGTGATTCATAAGAAGATCTATGAGTGGTTCAACATCGATTTTGACATATTTGGACGAACTACGACGCCGCAGCAGACTGAGTAAGTGATTGTCCACATTCGACAATAGAAAAGAAACCCAGCTGGAATGAGGGGCTAGTCTGCTCTAGCTAGTTGGTTGGCTTTTGCGACTTGGGATTTCTCCGTTTGTTTTCTATCACTGGTTAATATGCTGTTATATTAGATGATCATTTTAGAATAGCCCAGGATATCTTCCTTAAACTCCACGAGAATGGTTACACATCTTCGAGTTCGATTGATCAGTTACACTGCCAGAACTGCGATAAGTAAGTGATTTTTCATGAAGGATAACTGGTTTCCAGAGGATACATAGCTTCTTGATACTTTCTTGGCTTTCCGTGGAATGAGTTCCTACATGGATAGGTGACCGTGAACGAAAAAATGAAGAACGTGAAAATGTTCCTGAACTGTTCTTGAAAACAAACTAGCAGTTGCATATTGTTGAGATAGTGGTGTTCTATAACGAAGCAATAGTCGCCAAAGGACTGTTCGGGGAAGAAAAAAGCAAAACGAATCATGGCGGAACCCGTAAGGACGCTCTGACAGAAAATGGCCTCTGAGTTGAGGGCGGAGGCTGTATTTCAGTGAATACGCAACGGTTCCCTTTGAGTATCACTTCTGATCAAATTGAGTTCTAATTTAGGTTCCTTGCGGATCGTTTTGTAACGGGCATCTGCCCATTTTGTGCATATGACGATGCACGCGGTGATCAGTGTGACGGCTGTGGTCGTCTTATCAACGCTGTCGAGCTGAAGAGCCCTAAATGTCATATTTGTAAACAAGAACCGAAGGTAAGTGCTCACAGTTCATTTCGAGGCGCTTCTCCGCTAGTCGTTGGATTGCTACGAATGGCCGAAAGTGAATCTGTTTTGACTGTGACAAACGCTGGGACATGGTGAGAGGGGTTGGGTTTTGCTCGACGACGGCAGCCCTTTTTCCGCCAATTGTAGACGTTTGCTCCTTTCAAGAGGTGGAACGGGCCGGCGCCGAGCCAGACGCTGTGCTCTCTCCTCTCCCGACACACTTCAACGTCTGCAGCGACAACGGCTGTAGCGGTTCACGCTATTTGAGAATCGCGCGATGGATCGCTCGAGTCGCGAAGTGTAAACGCGGGTCTGTTTGCCTGAGCCCTCTTATATATGGCTGATGCACATTGTTCTCTGCAACTCGACTTCGGCTATGTGCCATCACATTGGCTGCGGGACCTGATTGCCCATGTTCCGAATGCAGAAATTTTGGTCCATCATCCATGCTCTTCTCGCGACTGGAAAGGATATCCCCTCTAGTTTGTACCATAGTGTGTTACCATTAGAAGCCCTTAGCTGAAACCTAACATTTTTCAGGGTGGATTAGAGAAAAGGTGTATTACACGTGATCTCAAATGGGGTACAGCCGTTCCACTTGCAGGCTTTGAAAACAAGGTGAGAGTTTGGCCCATTTCGGATGTTTGGTTCTCCACACGAGTCAATGTCTGCTCATGCGATAGGTGTTCTACGTGTGGTACGACGCTCCCATAGGGTATCTTTCAATTACGAAATGTCTAGTAGGTGATAATTGGACGAAATGGTGGAAGAATCCTGAAGAAGTTGAGCTATTCAACTTTATTGGAAAGGTATTTGCCATTTAGTATGTGTTCCTCATAAAATTGACTAGAAAATAGTTACTGTTTCAGGACAATGTTGCGTTCCATGGTGTAATGTTTCCTTGTACGCAACTTGGTGCACGTGATAACTATACAATAGTCAATCATGTGTGTGCAACGGAATACTTGAATTACGAGGACACCAAATTCAGGTTTGTCACGGTTTAATCCTGTCTCTTACTTAAAGGCACACTCCGCGATCATAAATTGTGGTCTGTGCAACTCAAAGGCTAATGACAAGATGGCAAATAATTCAAAAGTGGTCCAGGTAGGTTTGATGTTAAGACGCTCTTTTTGGAAGTAGTCCCGGCTGCAAGCATGGAAGATATACGATTTTCGCGCTCGAAGAAATTTAAAAAAAGCTCGGTCTGCTTGCGATGACAACGCCCCGCCCACTGGTAAGTACAACGCCCAACCTTCATTTTACTGCAGAAACTGATGTGCGGTAGTTCCGCCACTAACTTTCTCAATTTCAAGTAATGAGAGTGGGGTGATAAGGAGAAAGAGCTGACACAAACAAGTGAATTTGTCCAACCACGCCCTTCCTTTTCCTTATGCACGTGCAAGAGCGGTTCAGCATGGTGTTCTATATGCGGCGTTCCGGGCAGGTTTTTAGAGTTTTTTCTTCACTTCTGTGTCATCTTGTCTTTAGTAAATGAGCCATACAAAACACGATTTTTGGATGCGGGTTGTGTCTTTCACAAGATATTTCAAATAGAAGAGTGTCACAGCAAAAAATCCCACCTTCCACTGCTCCATCAACGCTATATTGGTGTGTAGTCTCACCAAAATATCCCGATGAAGTGTTTTAGCGTCCCAGTTGTATTTATTTTTCACTTTCCTGCTTGAGATTTTATTTTGTTAGTTCCATCAAGTTTTTTTCCGTATGTTTCAGTAAATCGAGGAATACCGGCGTATTTGGTGATAACGCACAAGAAACGGGCATTGAAGCTGATGTATGGCGCTTTTATCTACTTTATATGCGGCCTGAATCTCAGGATACGTCATTCTGCTGGGAGGATTTTGCTCTCAAGGTACTCATTTTGGCGGCTTGAAGTTAACCAGAGCTTAAAGACACAATTCACCATTAACCAAGTAGATGAAATTCTCTCTTCCATTAAGGTACCCTTTTATAGGGTAAAGTAGCGGTTACGAGATCAAAGACGAGACGCTGAGAACGATCTATTCGCCACTATAACTCACGCCCACCTCTCTCCCGCCCTGAAATGAACACCTCTTTTCACCTTTAGAACTTTCCTCGTATCTCTTTGACTCTCGCTCGTGCATAACACTGTCTTTCCCCCCTACTGTTAATTGGATCGTTTGAATTTGGTGACCCGTTTAGGGGAGTTCTGGAGGTTTTGAAGTTGTCTATTTGGTTTCGCGTTGGTTGACTAATTTCTCGCGGATGGACGACAAAATTTCCCCATCGTGCTGCATTGCCGACCGTGGAATTGTCTTTAATAAGCGAGGAGAAATGGCTTTGTTTTCTGACCAGTTTGGCTCTTTAGGTAAACTCGGAACTGCTCGCCAATCTGGGAAACTTCATTAATCGAGCTCTGTCGTTCCTCAGCAACAGTTTCGGAGGTGTGGTGCCGGAAATGCATCTGAACGACACCGACGTTGAGCTTCTGGCAGGAATCCAGGTATCCAACACCGGCCGGTCACTCCATTTGTTTTGCTAGACGTATTTGTGTTGTAAAACCTGGAAAAAGGTGAGTTGAATCTGTGAAATTTAAGGAGGATTCAGTGGAATGGGATCAGCAGATGGATGCAGTTCGTCAGAAAGATGCTGTTAGGACGGTCCTTTCAATGTCACGACGTGGTAACCAGTATATGCAGTCTCAACAGCCGTGGGTTCTAGTGAAAGGAAGCGAGGATGACAAGTGGGTCTCATCTCTTTGCATTAGTTACTCTTTCAGAAACATTCTCTTGTCCTTGTTGGAGAGGAATTTTTCAAAGTATTCCTTGGTTATTCCTTCAAATATTCTTTTTGAAGAGGATTTTTATTGCAGTCATTTCTCACGCTATCTTCAGAAACGCGCTTGGGGTACTGTCAATCGGTAGGTTGCGGCAAATATTTCCTATCATCTGGCTGTAGGACTAATCACATCTATGCCAGAGGTATCAATTCTTAAGCAAACGAAATGCATTATGTCATCGGCCATTGGGATTCGACTTAATCGTCAGTTTTGATTCAGGTCTCAGCCCGTATAAGGTCCCAGTGTGCCTTGGACCAATTACCCGCCTTCTCCACATACCCGTTATCATATCTCAAACCAGGGCATAAAATTGGGACGGTAGGTCTTTTCTGCCTGTTGCTGGCTAAGTTTTTTTCTGAACAGCGGTTTGAGTTACGTATACAGTTTTTTATTCCAAACACAGTTTTTTTTTCAAACAGATTCCAGGGTTGGTTAAACATGCCGTAGTTAGCACGGGTGAAGGCCCCGCCCTCCATCCAGGCCCACTTTTGCGTCTTTTTGCAGAATTTTGTTCTTTTCTCAATACTCTTACCTTTTTGGGCTGTAACGGTAGCAGCAGGGTAGCCCTGCTCATCACGAAAAGCTCCGCCCGCTCCATAGAAGCCGCGTCCACTCTCGCAGAATGCCTCACATTGGCAGCTTAGTGTCTCGACTAGTAGATTACAGTATCGCACTCGGAACAAACTTTGCCTGTTCATTTTTGTCTCCTGTAACGAGCGAGACTCTGACGTACTAGTTGAGACTCTGACCTGCTAAAATGAGGCATTGCGAGAGTAGACAGGCTTCTAATGGGCGGAAATTTTTATGGTGGGCGGGGCCACCATTAGCAGCCCAAAAAAAGGAGAACTTTGAAAAAAACTGAACTTCCGCAAAAAGACGTAGAACTGGGCTTGACTGGATGGGCGGGCCTGTGGGCCTGCCTATTGTGGCATGTCTAACCAACTCTTGAATCTGATTTGAAAAGTCGTGGATTTGAAATGAAAATGGTATATATATTTGAAATAAGATCTAGAATGTGTTTTAGCCAAAACCGCTGTTCACAAAAATGGAGAATGTGAAAGTAGCTGAATGGAAAGCGAAGTTTGGTGGATCGAAGACCGTTGAGGACCAAAATCAAAAGAAACGGAAAGGTAAATTGTTTCTTGCTCTATTTGATGTTGCAGTACCATTGGGCGGAGTTCGACAGGGGGAGGGAGTGGGCAATCTGCTCTTCCACTACTTCCCGTCGTTGTGTTCATTGCTTTACGAGTTGACAGGTATCCTTACTAGAAGTTTACAAGTTATTTTTGCGAACTTCGAACGGTATCACTTCATGTGCTCACAGGATTTTACAAAACTCTACTCACTGACTCGACACGACAATGGGAAACAGCGAGAGTGCAAAATGCCCCCTCCCGGCGCCGAACTGTGCCTACTTTTGCACTGCCATCCACTTGAGTCACCTTCTTTCTCGACGTCGCGTTCGTTGCCAGTTCCTGTCATTTCGGAGTCTATTTTATGTTAATTGTACCAGTAATCTCGCATGAAGCTCGGGAAATAAGCGGGGCTTCGGTCCTGGGTTTCTTATCTTCTAGCACATCTTTTGGTTTTGTGAGAGGAACAAGTACTCTGGCTTGGCCCAGCGGACCAGGATCTGCTTCACATTTCCTGGACTTCGGTTAACTCTGTTGTTGTGCGTTTGTATAGTTAGTGATGTGTGAATGAAGACTTGGACAGCTTCAGAATGCTGTCTTTTAGGTCCGTGACGTGAGATGGCCAGACCTTCTGGGATGTGAGACGCCGATGCTACGTTTTTCCACTATTTGCTTTCTTTCACGTACATTTCTTTATCGTCTGTGATACTTTAGTACCCTAGATACTTTTCAGGACGAGTTTTCTCCCCCAACTGCTGGGAATATTCAATATCTTTACTATTCTCGAAATTTCTGCACAATCTACATGTCTGCGGTGGCACATATCTTTTCTTTCGCTATTTTGTGCGCGGTCTTCCTTTCATTGACTACCAGCATTGTCTTGGAAAAGTAGGGTTTCGGGAGATTTTTGAAACCCCAGTGTGATAGGCTACTTGTCACTCTCAGTTTTCTCTTACAAAACCGTTCA